AATGGTAATGATGGAATTATGCCCGAGCGGAACCCAACAGTCTGCGGTGTCCTGGTGACTCGGAGCTGGGGATTAAACGCTGCAGGAGCAGAGGAGGCCCTTGTCCGGCCTGTCAGCATTCAGGGATGGGCTGATCGATGGGATGGGCTCTGCTGCACAATGGGGTGAGCTCTGGGGGGCAAAGCCCAAGCCCACCACAGGCACCTCTGCACCCCGGTGAGGTGTGGAGTCCTGCCCAGGGTATGGGAGCAGTGGGGTTGGATGTTCACACAGCTGTCACACCTGGAGCAGGACAGGGCTCAGCTGGGGGAGCAGAAGCATGAGGTAAGAAAAGGTAAAAGATGAAGAGATGGGCCCTGAGGGTGCTCACTGAGGTCAGGGGCAGCTCCTAGCAGGGGTGGCAGAGCCACAGGGGATCCTGGTGGTGCAGGGACATGAGTGGCACTGGGGGCTGAGTGGGACAGCCGGGCAGGGGCTCAGAGGCACTGGCAGGAGCTGAGGGAGCACAGATCAGAGCTGGCTGCAGAGGCACTGAGAGAGAGGCCTGGAGCAGCCTGCAGGAAGGTTAGAGAGGCTTGGAGCAGCCAGCAAGATCAGTGCAGGCCTGGCTGGAGCTGGGGCAGCACAGGCTGAGGGGCTGCCTGCCCTCCCTGGGCTCACCCTGCCAGCACTGRCACCTCTATGCACAGGATTACACAAACACAGCCTTGCTTCCCTTCTCCTTTACAGATTCCTCTGCTGCTTTGAGGCACACATCTTTATGTACATAAATATCCCAGCAGTCCCCATCCCTACGGCAGAGTCACTAATCYGACCTGGCTTGTGGTTGGTGACCTCAGGAGAAGACTTGGGGACGGTTTGCCTGCCCAAGTTGGTGACACAGTGTTGACAAGAGGGGCATTAAGATGGGTGTGGGATGAGCGTAGGAACAGAGCCTGCCAGGACAGAGGTCTATCCATAAGGGATAATGTCATGAGTACATTTATGCCAGAACTCTGAGCAACCCAGAAATTTTCTCTCCGATGTCATCAGTCACACCAACCCAGAGCCAGCTGCAAGGGCAGCACTGCCCATGTGAGGAATGCAAAGGGACAGTCTGACCCCAGGTTTTGCATGACAGGAGATCCTCCCACACCACACAGCCAGAGCCAGACCTTTAGCAAACATAAGGGCCATCATGCCTGGCCTTTGGCACGAACTCGCGGCAAAATAAGTGAAAGCTAAACATTTTCAAAGTCAAATATTTGCCCAGTGGTAAAACAGGCCACTGCAGCCAGAGAGAAGCTGTTCCTAGGTGGCCTCAGCCTGTGYAGATCCTGCAGGACTGCTCTGGTGGTCTCTGTTGAGAGACCTTCAGATTGCTGGAGTCTACTTGTGCTCAGGCCAGCTGGGGAGGAGAGAGCCAATTTTAGTCATCCAGAGTCTTCAGAAATAAAACTCTCGAAAGGAAAAGACAAAGACTCACAASTAGAAAATGCACAGATTCTTTCCAAATGGTCTTAATGAAGATTATTTAAATATGGAGAGTTAAAGTATCCCATATGTTAGCTCCCTTATGGATCTCTTATACAGACTCAAGCCTAAGCACAAACTAATAAACCCCTTATCGAGAGAGGAGCTCAATACCAAAAAGCAGCAATCTGGTGTTTGGCTGCTTCTGTGCCTTTTCCTAATAATAGTGTGTGAAAAGCCTAAAAGGAAAGCATAAGGCTCAGAACTGGGCTTGGGCATGTGCCCCTGAACAGCCCCATTCTCCAGATATGTTTCTTTAACTCTCCAAACCAGCAGCAGTAACTGGAGAGGGAAACCTAGACATGGCACAAATATTAAATGTAAATACAACACATTCCAGCATAGACCCGTCACTGAAACAAGCCCTAGAGCAAAGCTCTCTCTTCCTGCTGGTGACAATGCAAAGGACTTCAGCATAATGGTATTTACTCAGTTAAATGAGAGCTGTAAWGCACTTCAGCCTTAGAAACAAAACTTGAGCTATTTTAAGTGTCCTCACATTTTCAGATGTGAGACTTTATTTGCACATGGCTGTTGACTTCAAGGGGAGTCACCACTGTCACCAAGGGCTCTGCTCTGAGAGCTTCCTCAGCAGGAGAAATGCAATGGAAAATGATGGCCTTTTGCTTTAGCTCAGCAGAACYCAGAGCAAGGAAGCACAGATGTAGTTCAGATACAAACAGAAGTCACTTCTCCATCTTCTACTTGCCTTTCCCTCATTAAATTTTGAATAAATTTATTCATCCTCTTGGAGATCTCTGGCTCAGAATTAAGTACTATTATTWTTAGGTGATGCTAAAGGATCATGCTAACATGGTCAGTAACATGTCATGTCTGGTACAGAACATTTTTCTGCACACGAAGGTGGTGGAAAGTTTTAATGAGCACTGTCRCCCACTTGCTTAAAATGGATTTTACTATTTATTTTTTAAAACATGCTTCTTAAGCTTTTCAACCCAGTGTATGCCGTTTTAGTTAAGCTCTCATGGTCACGTTCATTCTAAACTCAACTCAAAAAACTGACCTCTCTCAGGATAAAATTTTCTTTCAGAATGTGATGTGGCAATTCTCTTTCTAATAAAGACTACACAACTGTCTTCATCTTTGGCCATGTATGGAAGGCACTTGGAAAAAAAAACCAACCCACTTTGTTTTTGTAGATCTGGCAACCTGAGAAGACAGGAGTGAGTGAATAGTGGGCTAATCATTCTGTCTCCATTGACAAGCAGGGAAGGAGTTAATTATCTGCTGCTTTTCACTAATTCTCTTGCAGAGCTTGGTTGTGCATATTAAATGTCTAAGTTACCAGATTTAAAGAAAAACTTGATCTCAATTTGGCTACATATTAGAAGTGCCATTCCCTGTTGTCCTACCTAGCACTGTTAATTGCATACATTTAGCCCTCTATTGGAGAATAATTTAGCTTCAGATTGAAAAGAAACAGCCCTGGCCTTGGTTATTTTGGCATACAAGACTCCAGTATGACTCTGTTTTCTAAGCAGACATTAATGATTCTAAAACTAATATTCATTGTTTGAAGAGGCATAGCAGCCTTGGCATTTACTTAACCTTTTGTCTCATGTATGAGACTGAGTCAGCCTAAATCCTTTTCTTAATTAATATCTATTCTTTTTTTTTYYTTTTTTTTCTGTCCAACATTATTTATTAAACAATTTGCATGCAACAATTAAGAGTTGAAAGATTAGGAAAAAAAACCCCACTGTAGGAGCAAGCTCACTTGGAACAACAACAACCATGAAACTGGTTCTCCAGCTCAAACAAAACTCTGAGCAGGGATGAGAGGGGAATAGAGAGTGAGGAAGGTCAGGTTAAAAAAAAAATTGAAAAACCAAGTCCCACCATTCACCTCTTAGCCCTAACATTAAGCTATTCCCTGCTAAAAAAGTAATAATTCTAGAGGGAAAGAGATAAAATACTACTGTAAAAGCATAAAACCCTGGGATTTGACACCTCCAGTGAATGTCAGTGATGACAGTTATGGTTGTGAATAAAGTGCAATCACTGAAACTGTTTGCTTATTGCTGCAGTGGAAAGAAATTATCATTTCAGCTTCCTGTTGTGCCTCACAGCACAGAACTGCCTGCTCAACATGAGCCACCTCACCCAGGTTCCCTGCTCTTCCAGCCTCTTTGTTCCTATGCACTTCCTTGCACTTTGGTGATCACAACTACATTGAGCTGAGTGTGCCACAAAAGACACTTAGGAATGCTCAGATCTGTGGGGAAGTTGGCCAGGACACCTTTGGCAATGGCAATAAACCATTSTGGGGTGCCATTGCAAGTTGTATGACATTAGCACAGAGCAGGATGGCAGCTGGATTCAGATGCCATCACATGACACACAGAATTCACATGGAATTCACACAGTATAGAGACTCTAGCATCTCTCCTCACCTTTTCTCCAGGGCATTAGCTCTGTGGAGTCACAGACACTTTGCTCAGGGGACTGTCTGCAAGACCAGAGATTGAGTCACCTTTCATATCCCACCAGGGCTGGGTGACAAACCAGACCTACAGGGAAAATTCAACAGTCTCCCAAAAAACACGGGAGTGATAATAGGTTGTGCTGGGCACCCATCAGAAGACCCACAGGAACAGGACTCATTTGCATCAAAGTCACCCTAAATCCTCTATTACCCAATAATCCTCAATCTCTAATGCTCCTGGGATCTCCTTTCTATAAGGCTTTAGGAGATCCCTGGGCACAACACAAAGCTGTTGCCCCACACCTTTTACACGAACCAATAGAGAGCAAATCCTCATACCCTGTGACACAGTCAAGACTTGCTTTGGGGGGACAGAACAGTGAAGAAACAAAATGGGACCARTGCTTAGAAACTGTCCTGAGAGCTGAACTGGACCCCTGCCACTGTCAAAGTGCTCCCAAAAGAAACAGTCCAGGGATCCAGATGTGTCATTTTCTTCACAACTACCTCACCAATGTGACACTACTTTAAATATTATTTCAGACATAGAGTTCAGCAAGTAATTTCAGGGCATGAACTTTGACAGCAGGTTTTAAAATCCAAATGCACATCTATAAACCCAACATATTAATAACTTAACAGTTTTCAATAAGACATCAACATTTGCATGCATCTTCCTACTTGTTATGTGCRGTACTACATTTTTTAATGTTTCTTGGATGCTGGCCAGAGAGTCTGAGTCCCTAGTTAGTTCATCTATTACTTTCTTGCCACAATAGATCTGGGTCTTGGCCAAGTACTGGACTCATACTGCATACAAAAACACTAAATTCTCTCCCTTATCTGTTGATAGTTTTCACTTCCCAGGGAAGGGCAAAAAAATAGCATAAATTAAGATAAATAAGTAAATACATAAAAATTCAACACTAACTGTAGAAGTATTTTTAGCGTTTTTTAACACTACATGTATTCAAAAGATTTCCTTATGTATTTATACTCCTTTAGTCTCTCAAGAGTCTAATTCATGACTATTCACCTGAACAGGAGAGGAAGATCTCTTCTTTAAATCCCTCCTGGAGCTCCTCAGGCTTTCCACAAGAGTGAGCAAGGTTACCTGACCTGAAATAAAACAGAGGAGGAAGAGGTTTCAGTCCCATCCTTCCTTTTTCAGTGTTTCTCAGCCTATGGACTATGGAGGGGTTTAAAGAGGCCACGAAGGGTTAGAGGCGGCCTCTGTTTTACATTTGACCTTTTTATCCCTTACTCAGAGCCTCTGGTGTCTTCAGAGGAAGACGGATGAACACAGAGGAGATGCCTTTTGAAAGAGGTTTGAAAACATTGTCCAGTGCAGCTCTGGTGGCAGGGAAGTGAATGTTGCCTTTTATTGTGGATTTAAGGTGGCAAACTCATACTTAGATTAACAAAGAGCAAGGAGAAAGGAGTGGGTGAGGCAACGATCCCAGCTGTGGCTTTCCAGCCACGTTAATCCCCCAGCAGCCTGAGCTGCCCCTGAAAGGGCTGGGCCTGCCCACCCGCCCAGCCCTGGTGGGAATGTTTTTGCCCACTTGAAGATCTGCATTTCATCAGAGAATGAGCAGGGTCCAGCTTCACCCGACCCTAAAAATGCCCCTCGATGCTGCTGAGCACATAGAATCACTGCACTCCTCTGAGCAGGGTGATGGGAAGGGTGTGCTGCCCTTGGTGACAACGGAACCACCATGGAACGTGAGCCAAGGGACACGTGGGGCAAGGCCAGGAGCAGCAGAGCTCACCTTTCCCCAGGCTGCTGCTAAAATCCCAGCCCRGTCCACACAGAGCACTTTGCTGTCAGTTTAACACTGATCCCAGCAGTCTGCTGGGGTGACTTGGAAAATTTTCCTAATAATACCAAGGTAGCTGACAAATTAATAGAATACATGATTCCTGTACCTTCTGCTTGAGCTGTGTGGTTTTTTTCTGTTAATTTGCCCAAATAAAGCCTTAATTTCCGTTGTTTCAGAAATTAGATCCTCTTGAAGAATGGAAGGATGCTGTGTTCAAGAGGGGTAGCATTTTTATGAAGACACGTAATTAAAGGAAGCCATTAAAGATACTTGTAAAAATGATTCAGATTTTTATATATGATGACTAACTAACTTATTATTGCTCTTCTTGGTCAGAGATTAATGGGAATTTCTAAAAGGATAAAGAATTATTTAACAAGCTGCAGGATCTGTATGGGCTTAGAACACMCTCTGTAATAGTGTGAATAGTAAGAAATGTGGTTGTTTATTCCCTTAACTAACRAGCTAAAGCTAAATCCAGAGATAGAAAGACGTCAAAAAAAAACCCAAATGCCAAACGAAAACTGCCCAACCAATACCTAGCAAGTAAGTGGATGTTTTTTACATGAAATTAAGCATAAAGTTTAGCCAAAAGTCCCTCCCATTAAGAAATTCAGGTTCCCACGTGCTCTAACTCCAGGTGGTAGACGAACAGCCCAGCATGATCTCAGAAATGACTGAGRAGCACCAAAGACTTTAAAGAAATAGTTTAAAATCAGGGGATGCTGAATATTCAACAGCTCCTTGTGAGGGGAAGGAGACAGCAAGGCAGAGAGAACAAACCACGGCTGCTTGCAAGAGCTTGCTGTGATGAAATTGTCTTTACAAAGTGATGACAACAATGTGCGTGGGCAAAGATTTCTGTGCAAGGAAAAGTCGTTTCTAAGATCACAAGTGGCACAGTCACTTGATGATGGCACACATGGACAGTTTTCATTTTCCCAGGTCTCTAAATCTCAGATTTTAAGTGACCTCAGTGTGTAGTGAAGTAGCACATCCCCTCTGGGTTGAAAAGCCTGTGCCAAGAGGGAGTGAAGAATCTCTAGGCTGACACTGGCACTGGGGGAAAGGTGCAGGTAACAGTCCAGGAGAGAAGGAAGGGCAAGGCAAACCAGTTTCTCAGGCAATTGAAAGCAGTGTTTGGTTTTTTTCACAAATGATTTGACAAGTGTTTTCTGCAGTAACTGCTCATAGCAACAAACTGCAGTGATTCCCGTGCYCAGGTGAAGCAGCAATAGCTTCCTCTCTCTGACTGAAACAGCTAAACAAACCAGCTGTTTTCCAAAGCAGTTCCCAACCAAGCTAGGTAGAACAGTGAGCCTTCTGCAGCTTGACACCCAATTATTTTAATATCACCTACATCTTCCCCTTCTCAGGGCTCATTGGGTTCTTTCCTTTTACTTTCTGAAGGCACACAAAGAATTGAATAACCTTTTCTCCATTTACCTGGCTACAGCCACATCACTGAGGGGGGTCCTTTCGATATTTTAAAGGACCTGAAGTGTGTGACAACATGGCACTGCAGTCAAGAATCTTGCCGGGGAACAGAATAAGAAGATTTATTTTATTTTTAATATTTGAAAGATTTCAAAAAGCATTCAACTGGATTTCTCACTAAGAGGATGAGTGAAGAGAATCCTTTGTAACTAAGCTGGGAGGCCCAAGTCTTTTATCCATTGTTACACAGTTTTTCCCCAGGGCAGAGTTAGGAAGGCCTGCAAGCCCCAGCAGCTTAACAAGGCGAGTACACTGGGTGGGCTTTTCTGCCATTGCCTAAGCTTCTGCCAAGGAAGGAGCCGCCRGAGCCGAGTGGGTCCCGCGCTCATCCCAGGCCCCGACAGATATTTGCGGAGATCCTGGCAGCAGTGGTGCTCTCCCAGCAGTGAATGTGCCCAGCCTGCCTGCAGTGCACACACACCCCCTCACTGCCCAGCCACCTCTGCCTCCTCAATAAACCAGGAGCAAAACCATTCCACGCAAGATTAGTAGTGAATTGGCACTTCARTTATTGCTTTGCATCGGACTTTGCCAAGCTGCCTCTTCCTGTCAGTTTTGTTAAACCCTCATGCACAACTGGTTGGTCAGARATACCTTCTCTCTTCCAAGATAGGTTGTGTAGAAGGAGGAAACCAGTGTAACTGCGCTGCTGACACCTTCTTTTCTTCCCTTTTGAGCTTCTAACATTGTTATGTGAAAACCCTTCAACCTCGATGTAAATGAACTAGTGGGCTCTGATCACATGGACTTGGCTACTCCCTGAGCTTGGTTCYCAGCAGTGATGGACTCAGCTGCCTTTGCCAAGGATGTCTGGGTCGGACTGAAAGTGAGAAATTCCCTGAGTGATTCCCAATAACGTGAGAAGAAGCTCAGGGCCTGAAGCAGGAAGCCCAGGACATGTTCTYAGCTCCAATCTCCCCAAACTCTTGTTCTAGGACTTGTCCAACTTAGTTCACTACAACACCATGAATATGCAAGATGTGTGTTGGTAATATCTTGCTTGGCAGCATTTCACAGCCCTTTCAGTTCTGTGAGAGGCACAGGAACAAGGAGCAGCAGAAGGAATAAGGAACAGCAGAAGGCAGCTCTTTCAGTCTCTGTGAGAGGTACAGGAACAAGGAGCAGCAGAAGGCAGATGATCACTCCTGTCCATTTGTACCTCGAGCAAAGCCTCAGAGTACACCATTCAAAGGTGCTCTCAAGTTAAAGACAAAATAAAATAGCTTTTAAGTAATAAAGCACCTCTTTTACTGACTTCCTATGAAACTTGYGGGAAACTAACATGGCAGAAATTTTGAAGGCAAATATCTTATATATGAGTCCAGAAGCAGGAGAATATGGAGTTTGTAAATAACAATGGCAGTATTTGCTTCCTTGGTCCCACTGGAATGAATGGTCTGTGACTTAGGTACATGTCAGTGCCATAAAGCAGGATATTCCCRGGGACTGGAAGTGGCTGCTCCATGTGTTAATGGTGCAGTAATGTAGTGGCAGTGATCATTTCATGGTCAAAGTTACAGAGGGGTTTTTACTATATGCTCRACTCTCCTATTTTATACTCCAACAAAAAGCTGAAGAAATTCCTAGGTCATACCTGAAGCCACGGTTGGAATTTTTCTATAAAATTTCAAAGGGATCCAGCCAGAAATTTTCAAATGATGGCATCCCTGCAAAAACACAGCTCACAAACACAAACTGTGCTCTCCCTACTTCTCTCACACAGGGGTGAATCTGGGCATGAGCTAAACTGTTTGACAAAATTATTGCCCCCCTCCACCCTTTTCTCCACTAAAGCCCCAGTTCTACTCCAGCCCCACCATTCCCATGGAGATGCTGGAACAACCCAAGAAAAAAGCAACGTACTTATGTGCTATATTTTAATGTTTATGGTATGGCTTTTTGTATAATAGGAATAATCGCAATGGCTTTGTAGTACACTTACAACAAATAGCTTTTGAGATTGCTCAAACACTTTAACTCCACTTCAGCTCTTAATCAAACTCAGCAGCTGTTTATTGCAATTACACCATAAAGCAATAGACATTATCCCCTAACTAACTGTCTTATTAATATAGGTAGTTACACAGTTATTTCATAGTTAGTCTTAAATAACTGCTTTTAATTATTTTATTAACATAAATAACCATCTCAATAAATTTAAATTAAATGCATATGTGAGAAAGTGCAATTTAAAGCATTGCACAGAATTGCATCTGTTTACTAATGTTTAAATTGATGTCATTCTGTAATTCAATTAAAGTGCAACTTTAATTTATTTCAATTTTTGATGGCCATGAAACAAAACACCTAAGACACCAGAATTTCCTAAATATTGAAATGGGCACTCTCTGCCTTCTTGTGTTGCTGTATTTCCTTTGCAGTATTAGTTTGCTACCAGGCGAATGAGATTTCTCCTTACCCACAAAACTTACAATTTAATATTCCCATTTAATTTTGTTTTCTTCTCATTCCCAAAGCAACAGATGACTGGATTGCATTTTGCCTTTTGGTTCAGTTGTGAAACTCTGCTTTCAACGGAGAACAGGATTTTACTTTGCTGTGCAATGCTGGATCCTCCATGTCTTATGCCATTTGTTCTGCTGGGATCAAGCTCTTTGCCTTCAGCTAAAGGGAAGGCAGACGCTGCCTGACCTGGCCTGAAATCCCCTCTTTCTTCCTCAAGAGGGCTGTTTTATTGTTCAGGGTGCTGGCTCATCCTACCCCAAAATCCCGCACTGCAGAGCAGGCAGCATTCGCACAGCAGCTTTTATTCCCCAGTGTCACTCTGGAATGTGTCTCTGGAAAGGGACCCCAGCCCAGATTCCTGCATTCCACCGTTCATTTCCCAGAAGGGTCTCTGCCCAGCACACTGGCTTATTCAGATGCTCTTCGGGGAGGAAACAAAAATCTCCWATCCTTACTCTGGTTTAGATGCCTGCCCTGAAGGACAAAGAGGAAAATGCTTGCTGGAGAGCAAGGAGGAAAGGAGAGGGACTCCCTTCACCCCTCAGAGAAATCAGATGATGTAAGGAAGCACTGGAAGAAACTAAAAGTGGCAAATGTAAGGCAAGAACGGGGTGAAAATAAGGCTGGAAAATATAAAAGTGCAAAAGGAGGTGAAGAGACCTCTCATACTTTCCTGCCAGCTCAAAACTTTTTAATTTAATTCCATAGTTGGTGCAAGGAGCTGTCAATGTGAACTGCTACCTCTCAAATCACAAAAAAATACTCCTTAAAAGTAACTGGAATGTTGTGAGAAAAAGTGTCAGTGTGTAAAGCAAAATTTSTCTGAGGGTTTTGATTGGGATCTCAGCAGCTTTTTAAGCTTCAGAACTGTGAAAAATCAAGAAATATTTGGCTCTTGGCATCATTGGCTTACTGACATCAGTCACTGTTACAGATTTCACAGGACAGCAATGAAGGGAAGAATTTGGTGCAATAATGGTGAATATTGCTAACTAGCAAGGTCCTTCCCATCCTTTGACTGCTCATCAGAGGACACAATCTCCCTACAGGGAATCATTAAAGAGTTTCAGTTCAGGTTTCAATGCATTTCCATGCAGGTACACTCTTTGTCAGGAGGAAGGTGCTGCAGTGACGTTAAGCCTATGGAGAAGTGGAATGTGCCTGGGACAACAAAGCTGAAAACAGTAATTTACTGATTTTAATATGTCTATCCAAATGCACCAGGTAACATGAAGGGATAATTTTACAGGCTCCATCAGAGTGGGGCTGTGATCTGGCAGACACACCAAGCTCCCCAGGAGACGAGCTCTTAAAACTTTACAGACTGCTGGGCAAAGACAGGTGATSTAGTACAAAGGGCTTTTACAGAAAAATGTAGAAACTCAGAGKGAATGCAGACATGTTTAAACTTCAGGTAACTGAGAGTGATCAGGGGTTGGATAATTGAAGTTCCAATGTATATTTGCCTACACTGTCGCTCACCTTTGAGCCCTACCTAGGCATCYTGACATTTATGTAGTCTGAAATCCTGAAAGCTCTGAGTTTAGACAACTAAATTGTTGCTTGTCAATTTAGTCTTGACTGAAAGACAGGTGTTTTGTTTCAGAGTAACACTCCTTTCAGACTCCTCTATTCCCAAGATCAGATTACTGAGCTAAGGAACTATCAAAAATGAAATAACGTACAAGCAGGCGAAGACATTTACATACCTTGAACAAAGGAATTCTTTGGGCAAAATACGGATTTTTAATTATTGCTTGTTTTTTGTCATGTGGGATTCTCATCTCTGGCTCTCTGGTGGGASCTGAAGGAGCTTGGAGGCTTTGAAGGTTCCTACATTTTTGGTACTGCTATGCAGTTTTACCAGCCTGTTCTGCTGAATACAAAACACTGTCTGAACAAAAATTCAGCTGAGGATCTGAACCAGAATTCTCACAATTCATAAAACACACACAGCAGTCCAATGGCAACAGGGTGATGAGCAAGGGGTACCTGATAATCTCATCCCAACTTTACCTGTAATTCAAAGTGAGTCATTYTTGCCAGCCAGGCCTTCATTATGATCTCTAATACTTCAGGCTGCTTGGCATTGTGGCAGTGCTTGGACCTCAATCCCTTTATTTATGCCATTAAGTGTGCTGAAGGCAACAGAACACAGGCTTAATCACAGTGACCTGCCAATAACCTCAACTGTGACCTGGAGGGATCCCCAGTTTTGGCATAGGTTAAGGGTCTCATCTCATTTAGAACCTTAAGCTGGATTTGAACTGTAGCCCCAGAAGTAAAAAGCCAGCATTTTTATCTGGGAAGCCACATGGCTCTGGCTTCCTGATTGGTACTTGGGACATCCCAGCATTGGCAAACCAGGGACATATTAACTGTGTGCTCTATTTTCTGCCTTTAATTATGGCCGCTAGTCTGAGTTTGCTTTCCTTTCCTTTTTTTTTTTTTTTTTTAAAGGATTTGAGTGACAAAGTGACTATGCATATCATTCCACATTTGAACTGTAAGACTTCAGTATTTCTACCTCTAGTGTGTAATTGGATCAGCTGCCAGTTACAGAAAGGAGCTGGGTGAGTATTAAGTGTGTGGAAAATGAAGAAGAGTCCAAGTGTGAAGGGGAGGAATAATTTGACAAAGCCTGCAGTGAGCTATACGTGGTTTTCTCGTTCCAAAATGGAGTAGGTTTTGAAGCGCATGAGAAAAAACTGGCTTTGATTTATTAGCTTTGGTTCACAGAACGCCAGCCACAATCTTGGAGCAACTCAAGGCATATGGAAAACCACAGTCCCTGCCCCAAGGAACTCACAATACCCACATTATCATAACGAGGATGGACAAATGCCAGCTTGAAAAACATTCTGCTTTTATTTGGGTCTTGAACAACCTTATCAGGCAGGGCACAAAGTACTGCCAGGACTRGGGCTTGGTGTGACCATTGTGTGGTGGCCCTCAAACCATCACACCCAAGGCACTTTTGTAGGTCCCCACGGCAGCACTTGCTGACTTGAATTTGGAGTTTCTCAAAGAAATGAAGATGATGTAAATATGAAACAGGTTAGAACCTATTAAAAAAAATCCATGGTAAAGCTCAGCCCTTTACAAAGGTGATAAACTGTGGTGTCAGAAAGGGTTGTAGAATTTCTGTCAGGACAAGAAAGTTGAGTTCCAACACTAAGCGCAGGTGAGGCAGGACCACACAGACAGAAAGACAGTTTTTTATCCARCAAGTGTTCAACCATTTATATCTTTATGAAGTGCAAGCAAATTCCCTCAGATAAGAACTGAGAGTCTCTAGGTTTCTTGTCAAACTGCTGGTGGGACAGGAGAGCTGGATACTGAGTGGGCAGCCACAACATCTTTCACTTTGCATTCAAAGATGCAACTCAGAGCAACAATTTAATCATGAGGTGGCCAATTTAGAGGATTACAAGAGAGGCCTACAGCCTGAAATCAAGGAAAAGGTCACAACATCCAGAGCAGCACGTGAAAGAAGCGGAAGAAATGGCAGTTACCTGGGAATTCCCAGACTGTTGTACCTCAGCTCTAGAAATGCTCCATAAAATCCAGCATGCTGATCTGTAAGGAGTGAGCAAGAAAAATTCATTAGTGGTGCAAACAAGAACTACAAACATGCCAGGTGACTGCSCAGTGGCAGCCAGGATCTGTGTAGTGCTGCCAAGAAGATGGAGAGAGCAAAAAACAGCTGAGATTTGCTACCTCCCAACTCTAGGGAGCTACAGCTGGTAGTTTGCTGCCCACAGGGCCAAACTGGTATCCTGGGATTTGGAAATTCCTCYGCTATAACTTCAGTAGCAGCCCCTAATTGAGAAGAGCAGTGTCCTAAAGAGCTCCAGGTTGCGGCCATGGAGTCACATCCTTTCTGGTATAAAAGCTCTACAGACAAGTCTATCAGGCAAAAACACAACAAAAAAACCATCTCAAAATCATTTCTCTCTGACTCTCCAAGGGGGTTAGGGCATTAAGACAGAATGCCCTACCTCAAAGGAAGTCAAGATTGGATCAGAACATCTCAGAGAGATAGAGAARGAGAGATGGCAAGAAGAAGCAGTGTAAAGGTTTTATCAGCATGAGTTGGGAATGACCACATTACTCACAGGTCACTGTGCTTTCCAGCTGACTAGCAACAGATGAAATAAGGAAAACAACGGCCTCCGGATTTCCAGGTAGCAGCTGCAGCCAAGGCTGCCTTTTCAACTGCCCTTTTAGTGTGGAATATGCAGGCACTGCTCAGAAACCGCCTGACTTTCCATGCAAAAGGGAACTGTGAGGGGCCACTGTCAAGGTAATACTTGTGTTGTTAGAGGGAGGAAAACTTCAAATGCAAAGCACTTGGTTTTCCCTACAGCTTGCATGTTTCAAGTATTCCCTAATACTGAGCTAGAAGTATGTCCGAGATCCCTGTGGATCTCCAGCAGGAAGGCACCAGSGATGGTTATCCTGATGTGAATCTACAACTGTTACACCAGAAAACAGGTGTAGTGCTACATGTCCCACAGCAGCAACCACAAAACAGATTTTGTAACTTAACAAAGATGTTAAATATCATTTATTTATACTGAAGTGATGCCATTCTGCCAGGCTCTGCACAGAGGCTTCATCACAGACCTCTCATGTTTCTGGAAGGTGCCATCTAATCAGATAAAACACCCCAAGATCCCGACAGCTGAGGGGAAAATTACACTGCCATTCCTGACACTTCTCAAATTACCTGCTTATAACGGTAAGGATTGGTGGGATACCTCTCTTGCCAGAGCTGGATGCACACAGGCCAATACCCTCTGCTCTGTGCTGAATTCTCTCACCCCACACAGAGTTGTTGTTTCCTGCGCTGAGATCTCCTACTAGTGTTTGAACTCTCTGAATACTCTCTTCAGCTCCACACAAGGAGCCAGAGGCCTTGGTAACCTTCTACCCCAGCAGTTCTTTTCCTGCAGTCAGGAAATTAGCTCTCCTTATTTGCTTTTTTGTTTTCCTTTTTTTTTTTTTTGTTTTTCCTTGCAAAGAGCTAGGGGAATTTCCCCTTCCCATGCCTGGTTTCTTGCAGGGCTCTGATGGCAATGGCTGGTGATATCAGCAGAAAAACTCAAGCCATGCCACTCACAAACAATAGTGTCACACTTTGTGCATGGTTTTATGTACATAAATATTATTTATGTCAGTATTTCAATAATTTCAGCTATTCCTCATTCTTACTGGCATTGAGATATCCAGAAAACAATGGATGCTTCAAGTAATTCAGAAACCATCACGATATGCCTGTGTGAACACTTACACTTCTTCCCATGAAGAACTCTGAGACTTGATTTTGACTGAGAAATCAGTCAGACTCTGAGACTTGATTTTCAGCCGACATAAACCCACTAAAATAATGTAATTACTGGTAGAACAGTTTTCTCTCTGAAATATCCTGGTCCCTCTGGCTCCTCCATGTGAGCAGAGGGAACAGGTACAAACAGGGGAAGGTTTCATGTCTCTGCATCCCTGGTGTGAGTTTSCACCAGGAGCTGCCTTTTACCCCAGCAGGTTTTTGTTTTCCTTCATTCTGKAAATCGTCACTTTTTTAATGTAATCAACAAGAGAATCCCCTTTCTGTTGTACAGCTTTGGAAGAGGAGCCTGATTTGTGTTTTCAGAAAAATCTTCCAAAAGTCAAGAGAAGATGCAGTGGGAGGGTATTAGAGAGGAGAAGCAACTGGCACCTCTAACACCTTTTACCGGGATATAGGAAGAAGATAAATATGAGACAAACAAGAAAGTTTAGGAGAGAAGGGGGAAAACACATAGAAGATTTAGTAATAAAGGAACCCCGTCAGTAGCAACAACTTGAGGCAAAAAAAGAGGACTGATGGATAGCTGGGCTAGAATGGGTAAAACAATTTTTTTCAAAAGAAAACCAAATTGCATTGAAAAAACTAGTGAGGAAAAACAAACAAACAAACAAACAAAAAAAAAAAAAAAAAAAAAGCTAGAGGACAAATAAAACAGAAAGAGAGGATTTCCAAGACCACAAAAGCAGAGGTCAGTACACCATGGTCATTTGCTGAGAAAGGAGGAAGCAGACGTGAAGGAAAAAATATAAAATAAATATAAAAGATTACTTAGAAACAAAGGGCACATTGACTGCTRCCCCATGATTGTTTCGAAGGTTTGCTATCAGCATATCTCCAGTGATAAATGCCTTCACATGATGCCAGCTCTCTGCAGGCACAACTGCAGCAAATCAGTTCTGCCAGGCAGCAGACAAAGTGACAAGGCATCATTTCCCCCATTCCACATCCTGGGCCCTGGTCCATGCACATCCTCTCCAGGACAAAACCTCAAGAGAAGAGCACCCCAAAAGCAGCAGGGTTCCAGCAGCACAGAGGGGGACAACACTAATGGGTAGCTAAACTGGCAGCCTGGAGCTTCATTCAAACAATGATTACACGAGTCCATCTCTGACCAAGGCTCCTTATCCCACACCCCTCTCCAAATTCCCTTTTTTTGTCTCTTGAGACCTGGTTCATCTAGCCAGAAAAAGCACATCTAGATCGTTCTTGCTACACCCGTTCAAACTGAAAATTGCCAAGAGTGTCCTCTGAATGGCATCCACAAAAACATTGGAATGACAAGAACATGTTCAGGAGCTGTTTAGTGATTGCTAAACCTGGGCTGCTGTCCTACCACAACATTAACCTTGTGCCATCCATTAAACCCCCTAAGTTCAAATTAATGTCCCAAACTGCCTTCTGAGTGCCCTGCAGCACATCTCCAAGCTCAGTTTTCCATGGAGAGAGGAGCATCTGAGCCACCTCACYGACCTGAAGAGCTGTGGTAGTGATGTGCACGCCCAGTGCTGGGCARAGAGGGGGCTTCATGGAAGAAGGGAAGACCTGCTTTTAAAAGCAAAGATGATAGGTGACMCTCAGAATTTATGCTGAAGCTTGATGGGGTTAAAAGTTGTGCCTACGGATGTGTTTTCAACCAAGCCCCAGGCATTCTCCTGCACATGGGCAAATGCTGTTCTCCCTTCCATCCCATCAGTGAGGTTATTTGATTAACACCAATAATTTCAAAGGCAATATTCTCTCTATTGATCAGAGCCCCATTCTGGGAGGGAGGGATTCAGACTGACACTGAAAGTTGAATTTGCAATGTRTATATTTACATTCACTTGCAACAAAAGAGTCACAGATAGTCCTCTGTTTATCAGTAAAATACAGTTAACTCCTGTGGTATCAAACCAACATCCTCAATTCCACGAACTCCCACATCTTGCTGCCACAAAGAGCAGATCGTGCCCAGACCCCGCAGCCCCGCAGTCTTCATTCAGACCACGACTGTCATGGAAATATTGCTGTAACTCATGACAGCAATTCCGCTACAAGTACTTCTGTCCATATCAGCTTTGCCAAAATAAACACTGCTTTGGTTTGGGGGGCTTGGTTTATTTGTTTTGTGGCTGGGGTGAGAAAAAAATATGCATGTTAATTTTTTAATCAAAAAAATATGGAAAGAAGAAATCCACTTTTTTTTTTTTTTTTTTTTTTCTGGAACAGACAGCTAAGAAACACAGAACAGCCTTTTTCCGTCCCCCCCACACCCTTGCTCTGTACACCACCCTCGCTTTAAGATTAACTGTCGATCCATTCTACCCTTGAGGCCAGACATTCTTTGGATTTGGTTATTATATCAAGGTGCATTTGTACTTCTAAATGGGCAGCTGTACTGTAAATGGAGCACAAAGGAGCAAAATTCAGCCTGCTCCAGCGCGGGTCCGAAGCCCAGCATGTCTGTGATGCTGTAGCCTTTTGTTTCAAATGCAGATAGATAAACTACAGCCTTTTTTCCATGACGGTTATAATGCGGAATATGAAAAACTCTTGGGATGGTTTAAGCTGCAGGGTATTCTCCCAGAGTTCTGTCCAAAAATAATCTAGTAAAAATGTGGACAGAGAACCATCGACCTCTGCTTTCCCCCGAACATATGCAGCTCTGATCAGTCTGGTATTTCAAGAAAAACAAGGTCCTGAACCCTAATCCTCAGACACATAACAAAGCGCACTTCACAGCTGTGATGCACAGCTACTATCAGCTCCGAGGCCTGAGTGGGTCCCAAGACAATGCCTCCTTTATCACCCAGAGGACAAATATCTAGACAGCAATATTTTCTGCTTGAATGCTTCAAGCATCTCTCGCAACTCCTGACTGAAAGAGAAAACTGAGCTGAGAGTGTTTGCTGAGTGATTATTTTAATTTACTACTTGATGTAAATCTAAATGAACTGACATCCAGCTTGAGATGGACAGAAAACAATCATTGTGAAAAAAGAAAGAAGGCTAATATTACAATAACATTTGAGTAGCACAGGTTTAGGCAACTTTAGCAGTGGCAATGTAATAGATAGCGAGGCACGGTTTGCATTTCCTTTTCTTCACTCAATTACCATAATAAGTTCTGTAATTTTAGGGCTGTTTATTTATCAGGCGACGATAACAAAGACGCTCAGAACACGGTGTCTGAATGCAATAGTACAAAGCAGCCCAGTGTAAGCCCCTGCATGCAGAGGGATTGCCG